ACCGCTCTTTGTTCGACTGGGGAGTGCCGATCTGGGGAACGACAGGACTGAGGAGCTTGTTCATCAGTTCTAAAACTTTGTCAGGGTTCTGTTGGTATTAAAGTTACAGACAGATAAAAGGAGCATGATGGGACTTAGTGTTTTAATCTCATTGAAAAAGCGGAAAGGTCTCATGTAGTGGTGCCTAGTGTAAGCTCAGAGATGCTTCCCTCCCATAAAGAGTCAAGATCATATTAGCTATGAGCAACATAATGCTGCTGGCTTATGTGAAAAAGTATTTTCCCCTAATTCTCCTCTAAAACAGTGGCTACGGTTGTATCCACTTTTATTTCAAATATATTTCAAAAGGAAACAACAGTACTCACTATAAAGCCCAACTATTTTAGACTTCAATTCAACATCTATGAAATTGGAAGAGCACGCTCCAGGTAAATAACTTCACTAGCCAGAATAACATCACACATGGGGCAACCTCTTCAAAAGACCACATTGATCAAGAACCAGGATGTCTTAAATCAGAACGGGTTGGAGCACAATCCATCTGGGTTTGCTCACTGAAACCCTGCTCCATGCAGCCAGAGGCTCTGCTTTAACAGCAACAGAAACAATCTGCTTGAATAATGGCAATTCAATCTCCGAGATGAAGTTTAATCTCCTAATCACAGGGAGAATGATTGGGAAAAAAACCCCAGTGAACCACGTACATATTTAAGGCAGCACATAGAAGATACTTACCTTCGCAAGGTCATAAAGTTTTGCAGCTTCTTCAAACAATCCTTTATTTTCTGCTGCAGAAGCCACTTTGTTAATAATGGGTTTTGTGTCACTTGTAAACTTGTCTATCACTCCAGGCTAAAGAGGTGAGAAAAACAAAAGGAGAGAAGAGAAATCAGAATGCTTAAAAACTCCTCAGTATTCTGTCAAGACAATGAATTTTTTACATGTTGGATTATGATTAGACTGGCCTATACATTTCCATGGGAACATGCAAAAGGGACATGTTAAAAATAGAAAGAGCTCTTGTGAGAGAGGCTTTCTCCAAAACGGAGTCAGCACCAAGACATCTGCAGTTTCTAATTCATTCAAAATGACCCAGATAACAGGTCAAATTCTAAATTATTTTAATTGCTGATGAGACATTACAGAGGAGAAGAAAACACAAAAGACTTCAGCATATAACGTGCCAGGGTCTCCAGGGATGCTGTTTGTGTCTAATGGCATGACAGGCTGCAAGCAAAATCTTACACAGATAAATGAAAGGGGGATAAGAATTTTTAAAAGAAACAATAAACACAGGTAGAATAAAAGAGAGGAAAGAGTCAAGGATATCTGGAAAGGATTTTACTCTAGTTGAGGATGTAAAAATAAGAACATACCATCTAGAAGAATTTATTTTAAAATTAAGATTGCTGGTTTCATACCAAAGAAACACCAGAATACAGTTACATTTAAAAGGAATTGAGTAAAGTCAAGAAAACAGGATTCACCACTAGTGGTATAATCTAAAAACTATCTATCTTACAAAGAACTGTAAAGAGAAAAAATATTTGTGAAGATTACTGAGTTACCTTGCTCTTGTGTGTGTGCAATCTCACTGCTTTTAAACTGTCAGAACAAAAGCATCTTAAAAAAAAATCCTGCCAGAAATAACTTTTTTCCTTTTTTTGACAGTAGCAATGATTGCAGCATGAGCCCTAATCTTAAAATTAAGATTTAAACAACTCTGGAGTCTGCTTTACACAGAACACTTCCAGAGTTCCTGCAGTGAACAGAAACACTTCATTGATTATCTAAAATTTTAATCATTTGCATGCACTCTCCTCTTCTCAGGTGAAACCTTAAGGTTTCCTTTATCTTCTGACTGTGTAAGCTTACATTTTACTTTGAGATTACTGCTTTTACAGCAGAAGTAAGATCCATCACAACTGAAAATGGCTGATCTTAGATCCAATACTTACCCTTATATATATACAGGACAGATCAGTTGTGGCTATGCCTGTGGTCTGTTCGCCCTTGCTCCCTTAATTGCAAGAATTTTTAATGGACTGCAATACACTTCTCTGAGGTGAATGAGGATAATATCATATAGATAGTTTTCACACGCACACCTCAGTTAACAGAACAATCTCACACCCACTTACAAGCAAGCCATTTTTACTAACTGCTTTTTACTAATGTGCATTAAATTCCATTTCCTACTGTAGAGATGTAATTACCTCGCTAAGTTACCTGATGCCATTTGTTTCTTTAGTTACATTGGCTGTCTACAGGGACGTAGTTTGCCCTGTAGTTCCTGACCTGCCTTCTGTTAGGGCAGGTCATAGATCCTGTAAAAGGATCTCATACTTGGAGAACATGTATGTATTCAAACACAGTAATAATTTGGCTAGTGAAAAATAAAGAAAAGCAAGATAGCCTCATGACTACTTTGGAAATCACACATAGTTTGTACTTTTTATGTAAAATATAAACATAAATTTTCAACTCACCTTCCTACTACCATCGTTTTCCAGCTTTCCAAGAATCATATCAAACTATATCCACACAGATGTAAAGTAAGAAAAAAAGGAAACAAAAGGAGACATGAATTGCACATATTTCACAACATATTTACTAAGTACAAAGATGCAGTCATGGATGAATGAAAAACAGTGATTGATACCAAAATTATTTGTATATAATCAACAGGCAAAAAGATGTGCTTAAATATCTTAAACATATGGTCATTGTGAGTTCTTCTGTCATATATGTCTGCATCAGGCAGAAAAAATAAACAACTGTTTAAGACTGTCCTGCCTAATAAAGATTTCAATGAAGAAATTAATTTCAGTTTAAGTGAGGAAGGCAAAACATGGCCAAGCATACCTCTCTGCTTTCAATTACTAGTTCACTAACGCAACGCAAGAACATATTCTCTCCTTGGCTGTCCTTCTCATTCCTACAAAAGAAAGGGAAGGAAGAAGGTACTCCTGTTTCTCAGGACTTCCCAGATAATGAAGCAGTAATGTCTAGGAGAAAATCTAGAGACATAAATTAGCTCCTACCTGAGAAAGTAAAAATACTGCAGAGCTTCCCTTGGATCTGTTGATTCAAATTTACGGGTGTAAAGCATCAAAAGCCGCACAAAATTCAGACGCCTGACACCAGGAGGGTCACCAGCTTCATGGCTTACTGCAATATCAGAAACAACACTATCAGAGAGTCTAATGCCAGGAAATGCTGCTCTGATCTTCACCTCAAACTAGTCAGAGCCATGATCCAGAGCTCTAATGCAATTAAACCAATTAATTTTTAGGAGACTATTTGATAAATGCTGCTTATTTGATCAATTACATAGACCTGCAGTGTCTACAGGGTACTCTAAGGGCTCAGAAAATATCCCTTTATTGTAAAGTAAATGTGCAGGACTTACATAGCTGTGCACTCTGCCCAGAAGATTTCAGGAGCAGTTTTAACTCAAACAGGACCAATGCAACATGAACAGCATGACAACGCAAGCGCTCTGTCCGGAAGAGAAAAGCAATTGCAGCTTCGAACTGCGCTGTCAAGAACAACACTTGGAAGTAGAGGAAAGGCTGCTGGCTCATTGCAAAATGTGATTCACCTGAAAAAAACAAAACCAAAACAAAACCAACACAACACACACATAGAGTGTAAGTGAAAATGACTTAATGAAATGTCATTATGAAAATGACAGGATGCTTCCTGTCAGTGCATCACTATTGCTTATTCAGCACCAACAGAAATAAACACAGTAGACAAAACTGAATACCTGATCACACTTCAGTGGCTTATCTATAACGGTTCCACTGCAAATATATCACAAAAGACCACAGCATGAAGGCATA